GCATGTTCTTTCTTCTTCTTCTTCTTTGGCTTTTCTTTGCCATGCTCCCCATAAGTTCTCTAACCTCCTGAGGTTATGATAGACTTTAAGTTCAAACCATGCATGATAACATTAGGTAGTTCCCTTTTGTATCCCAACTTTAAGTTCACTTTGCATGATAACTTTTAGGATTGATTAGTCTCCCATTAGTGGTCTTTTCTTCTCTTCTCATCTTCATATAATCTTAATACACTTAATAAAGATAATGGATGTTGTGCCATGAGCCTTATACTTGAGAAATGGTGATTATAGGACCACCTCTCAATTTCCTAGAGTGTTTAATATACGTCCTTAAGACGATATGCGATGCATTCGATCCTAGGTTTTAGAATTTAGTACAATATACATTATAAACACTCAAATTCAAAACACTTCTTCTCTAAAAAACAAAAAAAACACTTCAAATACGTAGGCATAAGACACTATGTCTTGGCGAGCAACCTTCCCCCCTTCATCCGTAGTTAGCTGAACTACGTTGACTCTGACTTTCCCATTACATGAGGGAATACGTAGGCACAGAGCGGCGATGCTTTGCCGAGTCTCTCTTTTCTTTTTCTTTTGTCCCTGAGACCTTTGGCTAGATAGATTGATCACCCTCTTAGATAGACAACAAACCGTGGATCCCGTCGAGTACGACGTCGTGAGGGGTGCTAATACCTTCCCCTTGCATAACCGACTCCCAAATCCAGACTTGGTTGCGATGACCTTGTCTTTCCTCTTTTCGTTAGGTTTTTCCGATCGTTTCTTTTCCCTCTCTTTGGGATAAATAACGAAAGGTGGCGACTCTTCTGTTTTCCGCCGGGTGTTTTTCGCAGTTGCGACACATACCAGCTTGCTTGGGATAACTACAGCCTAACTGAGGAGGTCCATACCTCGTATATCAAAAGTTACCACATGGGACTTACAAACTCGAAGAGTTGGATGGAAGAATCATCCATAGGACGTGGAACTCAATTAACCTAAGATATTATTATATTTAATCATTTTCCATTTCTATTCAGTAAAGTAAGGTATATTTTTTCCACCATGTATACACTCTTTTAAAAATGTTTTATCATAAATTTCCACGAAACGATGAACTATCAAAGGGGTGCTCATCATTATAACTAATGAATGATATAAACATTAGATCTTCTCTGAAAAACTAGTGTTGCCCAAGAGGCAATATGAATGTCAGATCTTCTTTGAAGAAACTTTTCCACCCAAAAGAAAATTTAAATGTTGGATCTTCTCTGAAGAATCATTTCCGTCCAAGAGGAAATATAAATGTTAGATATTCTCTGAAGAATCTTTGTCATCCAATATGCAATATAAATGTTGGATCTTCTCTGAAGAATCCTTTCTTCCCAAGTGATAATATAAATGTTAGATCAATACTAAAGGATTCTCGAGCTTCAATGAACCACTCATTACTGGCATTCTTCATAGATCTTAAAATGCAGTATGACATGATTCCTTTAATAGGCAACAAAACGGGTGACACAAATGAAACTATTTCCAGTGGGACTCAACTTAAAGTCATGTCTGAGGCACTGAACTGAAAGTCTCACCGAATGGACTCAACTTAAATTCTCGCATGAGAGACTCAACTGAAATTCCTAAGGGAATCAACTTGAAGTTTTACCAAAGGGACTCAAATTAAAGTCTCGTATGAGAAAATCCACTTAAAGACTTGCCTAAGGGACTAAACTAAAGCCTCACCAGAGGGAATCAACTTAAAGTCTCACCTGAGGGACTCAATTGGAAATCTCATCTGAAGAACTCAACGTAAATGCTTAAACTAAATCACTTTGCCCTTTGCAACACCTCGTGCTTGAGGGACTATGTATTGGGATAAGTTTGTCAGGCTTAAAAGAAGAAGACCCAGAGGAAATAATGTTAAGCTCACTAGGGATGGGCGAGTACCATGGTGACATTGCCCAAAGGAATGTCGGGCTAACACCAGTGTCATGCCTAAGTTACCCCGTGACTTATTGTAAGTCGCCCAGATTGGACTTGGGCTATCTCACAGTTTTCACGATCCACATGTCCAAGAAACGTGGGAATGACATGACCAATTACACCAACACAATATATGAGTCAGTCAAGAAGGATAGTCACATCCCCTGTGATTATAGGAAAAAAGAATTATTATTTATTTCACACTCATAAAGGAGGTGGAAGAATAATTGTTTGTGAGTCCAAGAATTATCATCTAAATAAATATTAAATGGGTGCATTTGATTTGCAAAATAAGAACTATTGGAGAAAATAGTACTGAACACTATATAACAACTTTTTTTACTGCATTGTGTTTGATGATTAATGCACATGACAATTATTTTACCCTATTTTATTTGATATGTTTATGCATTAGACAAAAAAGATATATATTTTTAATATAATATTTTGTATTAATATGAAAAAATTTATACTTATGAATCAAAATAATATATATATATATATATATATATATATATATATATATATATATATATATATATATATATATATATATATATATATATATATATATATATATATATATATATATATATATATATATATATATATATATATATATATATATATATATATATATATATATATATATATATATATATATATATATATATATATATATATAGAGAGAGAGAGAGAGAGAGAGAGAGAGAGAGAGATAAATAGATTGTTTTAAGTAAATTTTTTTAAAAAAACATGATAGTTTGAAACTTTTGATAATTTGTGCATGAGACAAAAAGTTGTCCAGTCGTATGATTAATTTCTATATCAAACAGGTAAAAAAATTATGTTGTCTAATCCCTTATTTTTTAACAAATCAAATACACCCAATGAGTTGTAAGACTATGCTTTATTTATTAATTATTTGTTAAATATAACTAATCACATATTTAATTTATTTTAGTAAGTTAATATGTAGTCAAAATTTGATATTTAATTTATGTATAAACTTTACATAATTTAGATTTTACTTTAGACTTTAGAGTATGGACCCCTTTGTTTTAGTTTTAAAAAAATAAATAATGTTTTTTGATAAAAAAGCTTTTTTAAAATACTAAAAGTTTTTTAATCTCATTTTTATAAATTAAAAGACTAGTTTCAACATTATAACATAAATATATATATTATTAAAGTTTAAAATATATTTAAAATCACATGATTTTTAAAAAATATATCTCAAAAATAATATTTATAAAAAGTTATTTAAAATAACTTCAAATTAAGTTTTATTTTTAAAATTTTGATATTAAAAATATTATATTAAAAAATAAAATATCTAAAATAACATTTATAGAAAAATATTTAAATCAATTTTTTATTTGAATTTAAAAAAAAATCAATTTTATAAAAAGCATAAGCAAATAAGCTTTTAGATTATATCATTTCTTATTTCAATAATTATTTTATAGCACATACTAATATATATTAACATATGAATATATTCTTGGAAATAACAAACATTTTAGCTTTCAATGACTTAAATAAATAACTTCAAAACTATTTTTTAATATCGAATATCCTTTGCATGTAACTAAGGATATAATCGATTCAGTTTAAATTGTTTTTGATCAAAAAATTGTTCGAACCGATGATATCTCCATCAATTTGGTTTGATTTGATTTTTAGCATATTTTAAAAATAGAACCGATCCAAACTAATCGGTTTGGTTAATTGATTTACAATTTTTTTTGTTAAACATTATATTTATCGGTCTATTCTCCACTATCATGTTTTTCAATGTATTTTTTAAAATAATACAGTTCATACTCTATTTTTTCAAACAAATTATAAGTTGTTCTTAACTCATCCGAAACAGTGCATGATTTCCATTGCATCATGAAATAAGTTCACTATCAAATATAAAAGTTAGCACTTGACATCAGAAGGTTATGAAGAGATTTGAAAACATAACAAATAAAGCACATAACAATAAGAATTTTCAATACACATACATTAACATGTTTCACACCTCAAACACACATTAAAACTATTTTGTAATAAGACTAGAAGGAATTTTATTGAAGAAGAAGAAATAGGAAAAGTTTAAAAAATACGAAAACTAACGAAGAAAACTTGAATACAAAGAAATTGACCATGGCATATCAGAATGACAATAGAGAGAGCAACATTGGTGGCAAGGTGCGAGAATAGTAAGCATTGGTTTAGTTCATTGGTTTGGAGGTTTCTAAAAACTAAAACAAAAAACCGAACCAAATCATATTGGTTTTTATTAGTTCGGTTCAGTTTTGAAACCAAACCAGAAAAAATCAATTTTTTTTAGTTTGAATTGTCAATTAATTAATTTTTTCTGATCTACTTATACCTTTACGCGCAATTATAAAAACTAATCCAGCTATTTTTTTTATTCTTTAACATAAGTTTTAAGACAATTATTAGTATTTATACTAACTTGTAAGCTACTTTTTTTTCTTTACCATAATTAAATTATGAGTGACATATTGTTTAACCGATTAACATTTAACTAAAACCACAATTCGGTTATGGTTTTAAGATGACCTAGCGAATTTGAATTCACACACTTACATTGAGATGGTTATGCATAGCTATCAACTAAATTTGCTTAATCAATTTTAACACTAATATTGAATCTAAATAAGATGAGAGAAAGAGAGAAAAACTCAAGAAAAATCAATATAATTTTACACTAATAATGAACATTGGATTACCAAGGAAAAAACTGAATGAAAAAATAAACACATGAAGACTTAAATGGTATATACTATACTATACACTATGTTCAACCCTTATATGAGTAATGAACATTTTATTTTTGTTATAGTATAGCATAAAAAAATGTTGTATACGTATAGTTATACATGACTTAACAATATAATATAAACTCTGAAACATATAATTCTTGTGACAACAACTGAGAAATTAAGTTCTCAGCAAAAACATGTAACAGAGAAAAATCAACTTAGAGAATTTTGAGATGAAAATCAGTTTCTTTGATTATCATCCTGTCTTCTTGTTAAACAAATTTCAAATCCATTCACTAATCGAGCCGACGGAAAGAAGGACATTCTATCTTCCTTCATTTGTTTCCATCTGTCATACATCATTCAATTACATCAACAACGTATAAATCAGATACATCAGTTGTTCAATGAATCAATGAAATCAATTTTACATATACATCATAAGAGAACGAGGAATTACCTATAGTTTGTTACGAAGTAATGAAGAAAAAGAGCGATTTGAAGCCGAGCTAACTCGGCTCCTGGACAAAATCTAGCACCTCCTCCAAAGGGTGAGAAAAATGGACTAGTTCTCCAGTTTCTCTTTTCCTCATTTTCAGGTTCATTCCATCTCCGAGGATTGAAGTTTGTAGCTCCGTTGTATACCTTTTCGTCTAAATGAACCGCGGAAAGAAATGGAACCACAAAGCATCCTTTTGGAATAACAAAATCTGCTCAAAAACAGATAAGCTTGTATAAGTAGCTTATTATATAAAGCTTTTTATAATAAGTTTTACTCTCAAAATTTATGTACCTTGGTATTGAATGTCTTCTTTTGCTTCTCTCATTAACCAAATCGCAATGCCTCCAAGTCGAAGCGTTTCATCAATAACCTGTTATGAGATGAACTATCTCATCAAAATTGAGTTCGAGAATCAAGATAATCAGTTAAAATAGTCTAATGTTAATCACTTACACATTGAGTAAATGGCATTGCTTTATAGTCTTGCCATGTAAGAAATTCTTCTCTAGAGTTAGTCTTTAGAGAATCTTGTTCATCCTGTGCAAGAGAAGAAGTTGCGGAAACTAATAAGTTGTTTATCCAAAGTTCCAAACAGAACTGAAATAAGAAAAAACGATTTCGAGAATATCTCAATTATGCATACCAGAAGTTCCTTCATGGCATTAGGAGATTGAGTAAGGAAATAGACTGCAAAAAGCATTGTTTTTGTGGTTGTTTCATTGCCGGCGAAGAGAAGATTGATGATGAAGTCTGCAACAGCCTCATCTGGCAAGCTATCTTCCTCTAGTAATCTTCCAAGTACACCATTATTAGTACTTTCTTTTGCCGCACCGTTTTTTCTGTATATCTCTATGATCTTGTTTATCTTGCTTATGATTTTCTCCCTTGCCTTAGAATACAATTCATCAAGAACAATCTCATAAAGTTATGTATTAGTGTTAGTGTTGTGTCTGGTGTCTGTGTCCGTAAATAGCAGTGATTCTAAAAATTTATTCATGGTACCTTCATAGCAGTGTGATATGAAGAGCCCGGAATGTTGATTGGAATGGATAAACAACCATCAACAAAATCAGAAAACAATTGAGCCATTTCATTGACTTGAGACTCACTTGAAACCCCTAATAGTTGATTAACCATTAAATTTATAGCTACCTGCACAAAAACATTGATCTTAAGATTAATCATGCGCCCTCGTGACTCGTCACGACTACAAATGAAAATGTTGTTAGAAAGTAAACGCGTTATTGGCCGTTACCTTTCTGCAAACATCTTGGAGAAGAATGACTTGATTGTCGTCAAAGTTGCTCAAAGTTTGGATCATGACATTTTGAATATCATTCATGAAATGGAACTTAAGCTTATCTAGGCGCATCATATTCGACGCAATCCCATGTAGCTTCCTTTGTTGATCTCCTTGAACCGTAATCACGCCATTTTTACCAACCAAATCTCTAAAAGATTTCGGATAACTCGAAATAAATAATTTCCCTTCGTTTTGCATTACATAACGGTTGAAACTCGGATCCGACGACACCACTGCCCATTTTCCAAATAGACTGCAAGAAAATATCTTACCATACCTACGCCAAGCGAAAAGTTTTATTGGTTAGAATCCGTGTTTGTCTATCACAGATAACAGAAAATAGTCGTTTGTTCAAATTCCACTACACATAACATATAAGTACTATAGCGCGACTATAACTTTTATTTGACAATATTTCATACTAAATAGCGTATCATCAGAGAACAAAGTCGTGACATACTATACCTTTGCGCCATTTCTTCAACGAACCGAGGAGGATGAGAGCTTGCAACAGCATTGTACCAATTGATACTGTCACCAATCAAAGGCCAACCTCTCCTTCCGGGCGGTAATCTCCATAAACTTTTCTCTTCTTTTCTTCTCTTGATTTGAATTAGTCTTGCAAATAATGCAGTCACCAATATCACAATGATCATAACCAACCATGTTTCTGATATGTTTTCTCTCATTTTCTGTTTGAAATAAAATAGAGAAAAAAAGATAATCACAACTCTACCATGATGAGAAATAAATATATTTATAGTTAGATAGACAACATGGTAATCACTAATCACTTTTTCAATTCAAATGTGAACTTATTATTATAAAAATGAAAGAAAAAAAATTGTAACTGGTGAACATGCTTAGTTGACCTTATATGAAGATCTTGTAGGGCCATGTTAAGTTAGTATTGTAGATGAATAAGTCATTTTCAGAATCTATTTTTTTTATTTATATAAAACAAGTAATTTGAACAAATAATACAAAGAAAATTCAATAAATAAATAAGTTGTAGCAAGATCACAAGCTAGCATATTCCTATTTTTTTGAGTTAAATATGAAATCTAAAGATAGTCACATATCTAAGACTTGCATAATCAAAAGATTTTCTGAATCTTTCATAATCTGAGAAACAAAAGTCTCAAATCCTAACAACTAAGTATGAATCTTTCTGATGTATGAAACACATAAAAATAAAATAGAGCAAAAGATGTCTAATCACCTTAGATTCTGTTGATGAGTGTGTTTATTCCTTAGAAGCTTATAGCTAGACTTGAAGAGAAAGAGAAAGAGATTAATTGCAGAAACTGCTTTTTGTAATGAATTTGTTGTGATATGAGTATATAAGGAAAAGGGTGTGTTAAATTGGTCCAAAATAGCACTTTTTTAGAGTCTATATTGATATTTTAGAAGTTAAATTTCTTGAGCATAAAATATGGTGTGTAATCATCAAGTAGTAGAGGTTGTCATAAAGAAAAGTTAGCTAGAGTTTGACTTGTCCATTTTACGTTATATAGTTATGTGGCAACTGGCAATGAATTGAAGAAATTGTCATATTCAAGTGATGGACACATAGTTTTGTAATTAAAAAAACAGGAATGCTATGTTTACACCAGATTCTACACCCATTTCCTACACCGTATACACTGTTCAGCGTATTTATACGGTGAACAGTGTTTTTTTTAATAAAATAATATATTTTTTTAAAATATTAGTTTTTTAAGAAAAAAATATTTATTTTTAAAATTTATTTTATAACACAAATATTAGATTGCGCATTAACCAATTTTACAGTTGCATTAACCACAAAAATCTACATCATTAACCAATTATTTTACCTATAATTTATTAACCACTTTCACTACTTCATTAACCAATAAAATACATATCATTAACCATATTCTGGGAAATTTGTTCACGTATTTGTGAACAGTAAATTGGGTGTAGGGTGTAGGAAAGAGTGTAAGAATAGCATTTTTCTTAAAAAAATCGTAGTTGAGTAAATATTGATGTTATATTCTAATATCACCATTGACAGTTAAACAAAATTTTACTTGCTTTGATAATTTTATATCTAAAAACTAAAGTCTTGTTATATTTATTTTTTAAAATACTTTTTTTTCTTCTAAATTAATCATTTCAAATATACATAGAATTTTACAAACTTTACTATGCAAAAGATATTGGAAAAAAAATATAAATTTGTCGTTTATTAAAAGATTTATATAAAGTGTCATCTCTCATCTTATAAGTCGGTTTTGTAAATATAAGTTAACTCAAACTCTAGTTCTTTCATAATATTACTAGTCTATCGATTTGAGTCACCCACAATTTATATGTGCACTAAGTCCAATAATGTTGGGCGCAAGAGGTGTATTGAAAAAACCATGTCCCACATATCGATAATTCAGATCTCCCGCTTTTTATATTCACGCATTAAATCCAATAGTGTTGGACACAAGGGGTGTATTGAAAAAACCAAGTCCCACGTATCATAATTCGGGTCACCCACGTTTACATCCACGCATTAAGTCCAATAGTGCTAGGCGTGAGAGAGAGTTTACAAAAAGATTTATATATAGTAGGGACGGAAATAGGCCAACCCGACCAATAGGGATCCACGGTCTAGCCTACACAAGCTCAGGTTAAGTCAGTTTTTTTTTTATAAAATAGAAAAGACCTAAAATGTGATTATCTCGGAGAATTTATGAAAATAGGATGAAAAAATTTTATAAACAATGTCATAAGTTGTTTTCATAAGTTCTCTTAAACAAATAGGCCCCATCAACCTATGCTAATAGTTAAGTTAAAATAAGTCAATACAAACAAGTTTTTAGTCTCATTGGTCTTTTAATTTATTATTCTATTTAAACATTATTTGATTTGCTTATTCATATATGTCTAAAACAAATAGGCTTTATGTAGGCTAACAAGCTAACCAAACATTCGAGAAGGTCAGACTCAGGTCTAAAAATAAGCATATAACAGGCTGCAAGCCAGGCTTATACTTCGATTTTTTGGCAGGTTAGACTTAGGCTTAGCAAAACCTTGCTTGACCTAACTCATTTCCACCCCTAACCTTACAAGTCAATTTTGTAAGGATAAGTTAGGTCAAACTCTAATTCTATCGTAAGATAAAAGTGATAAGAAAATAACAAATTTTATAATAATATGTACATGGTTAATCAGGCCAAAGTTTTTAGAGAGCTTGAATGACAAAGTTGTAATCTTGAAAATCTAAATTGAGTGTTTATTCTTAAACTTTTCATAACAATTTTTATAATGATTTTGTTATGGGTTGTCTAACGGTTCACAAAGGCTGACCAAATCTATAGGTCTAATCGCTCAAAACGCATTATTCACTGATGTTAGATATGGATATGCATCCAACGTCTACTCGCGCTTTATGTTGGATAACCCAAAGATGAAAGTAATGTCCCTCATATATAATTGTGACTATGATTCACATTCATGTAGGATTCAAATCATTCATTTAAAGTTGTACCTCAATCTCATATTGACTTTATTTTTAGAGTGCTAGCCTTTTTGCAGGTACCCTTTCAAGTCACCGGAGAACTGCCATCACCCTACCAGAACCATCTTCACAGTGGTCTTCTTCCACTTATCAGTCATTCTTTGTTCGAGTATGAAATAGTAACGTCGTATATGAGAATCTATTTCTTTGATTCTCCTGAATTTCTTCAACTTTACGATTTTAACTACCTTCAACCTCACCTTATATGGTTGGTTTTAGGACATCTTGCACCCAAAACATCACCAACGATCATCATCTTCGATCAATCATTGGGATTCTTCAACATAATGCCATGACAGTTCTTTTCCCCTCATTCGAAGAGTGCCCCATATGAGAAGATCCTAAAGCTTCAACGCTGACTCCTTAACCATCATTTCAAGAAACTCGTCCCAATCCTCTCAAAGAATAATTTTCCTCTTCCTCATGTTTCGCTTTCAGCGTCATAAAATAAGCTTTTTCTTCTTCCTCACATTTTAGTTCTTCCGCCTCATGTTTCACTTTCATCACCATAGAATTAGCTTCTTGCTCCTCATTTTTTAGTTCCCCCACCAATACATCCTCTCAACAAATCCAAACCCTTTGTTCGATGCACCAAATGTCAACGAACTTCTCTTAAACATTTTCCAATTGTTTCAAAAACAAAGCATATGGCTTATCCACGTCAAAGAGAATCGGGAAAAAGTTCTTAGTGAGATTGAAACATAATTAGTGGTCTTAGAATGCGGCCATGTCGGAGTTATCCTAGTGATCATTCCTATCAATTTTGATTCACAACCATTCATAGCCCAAGGACCACCATATGAATCTCGCCCTCCTGACCTTGAAAATCACTCTCCACAACATGGCTCTAGTGGTGGAGATAACAATCATACACCATCTGAAGACTATTTTCAATGAGGAGTTTTTCTTCTTTTCATCTGCATAATAGGTTTAAGCATAAATCCCCACAGCAACATGCCAGTCATCGTCAATGAAACTCATTCACGAGAAGAATTACATAGTGCATTATCCTCAAATATTTGGAGAAACCCCAAAGCTTAAGATATAAGATGGAAATAACGACCCCGCAAGAACGTCTAACACATTTAGGGATGGCAATTTGAACCATCCCCAATGGACACTTGCAAAATTACCCACAATGGGTAGGGTAAAAACCCGCAAAAATGAATATGGGCACAGGCTCGGGTAATTATCCAAAAAAATAAGCGGGTATGAGTGCGAGTATGGGCATCTTAGTATCCACCCCGCTCCATACACGCAGAATATATATTTATGTATTTTAATTTATATTTATATAATTTAATTTATATTATTATATAAAAACATATGTCTATCAATTTTAAAAAGTATGTAAATGTTAAACCATTACATATTTAATATAAGTGTTCGTTTATTTCAACAATAATTTTTTTGAAAACTTTTTAATGTTTTTAAAAACTTAAAATAATATGATACTTTATAATTGATCTATTTATTTTAAATAGGAATGCGGGTAACAAGTGTGGGTACATGTACTTACATATCCGTAGGGTACGGGTACGTGTGCTAAATTTGGTGCCTAAACGGGTATGGACTCGAGTACGAAGATTTTTTCAAATCGCGGGTATAGGGATGGATACTATAGTACCCTGCCCAAACCTTTCCTATTGCCATCCCTAAGCACATTGACATCGTTCTAACTTACTACCAAAATAAGATCGTAGTGAAGTGAAAGTTATGTGTTATCATGTTAAAAGGTTTTACCATAACTTGGTTTAACGGACTAGAAGACAATTATACTCTCTAGAAAGACATTGTGAAAATAGTCCACTTCTTACTATACCTCAAAGAAGTGCCAACTAAAGATAAGGTCCCTACTAAGCACCTTATTATAGAGAAATAAGAAAATTTTGATGGAGTACATTTACAAGTTCACTAAAGAAGTTGTGGATACCAAAGGATAAAATGACAAACTAAGATGTTGGATTTTGTAGAGATGTCTGAGACTAGACTGCATGTTTAGGGAGGAGCTAGGGTTGGAAGATCCCTAGAGAAAGAGTGAGTTATTCGACCATTCTTAACTATATATCAATTATTAGAAGAAGCTACCAGCTAAATAAATCGAGAAAAATAAAACATATGGATAAACCGAGGATAAAAAGCACCCACATATAA